ATTTAGCTTGGATATAGAAAATTCATGTTTTTCTCAAGCATCCAATAATCATATGGGAATGCGATATAAGATATTCTTATTCTTCACACAGACACACTTGGAAGAATATATCTCATCTACTTAACCATTCCTTACATCTAGGATAGTCAATGACTTTCTAGAGGCAGGGTTCTCTTCCACTTTTCCAGAACCATCAACAATAGTGGTGAGGGTCTTGCCCAACAACACTTTCTCCTTCAATACGCGTCAATGTATGATTGAGCTTAGCTCGTTTATCACACACATATCTTGAAGCGGTCCTATCCAACAACCATTCTTTAGAGTTACCATTAAGGCTAACCTCTGTCATCACCTCAGTGAATATTATTACCAAATCCTCTTCTTTAGTCAAGTTAACACTAGGTTAAACTTGTTCTTACACTTTCGTGTCTTATGACCTAGTTTCTCACAAATTTAACAGAGAAACATAACGTCATTCTTAGAGGATTGGGCGACAATCTTATGGTTACCACAAAGACCATTCTAATTGGTGTGGATCTGGTTCAGTTGCTGCTCTCATTCTTGAAACTTCTATGTTTCACAGCAACCTAAGTGGTTCGTGTAGTACTGATAATCGTACTTCTTATAATATCGTTATTATGGGCAATAAACCCATTCTATTCCCATATATTCTTCACATATATGCATGCATTTAAACAAAATTATGTACACAAAATTTTACTCCAATCATTGAGGAAGATATATCTCAATGTCAACATGATCATGCATCAATTATAAATGTTCTTTCTAGCATTCATAAAATTTCTCAATTTCATGTATCAAGTTATATGACATAGATTCTCATTTTATCATTTATAAATGATTCATAAAAAAGGTTTCACTTCTGACCTTTTTTTTCGAGAGGTCATCCCCTTCTAATAATAGCTAGCTCGTGGCTTAGCTTCCAATTTGACAATACTTGCCCGAGCACCACTTTCCTCTATCAGGTTCTCCCGGCGGCAGCTATCCAGTTCTTACCTCCTTTGTGGAGGGCCTGCAAAATTCAATACAATTGCTTTTTCTCTTGAGACTTGGACAAGGGAAATTAACTTGACTGAGGCCTTCTTCCATTTGCTTGGCCCGGGATGGGATTTAAACGGGACAATGGAATCAGCTTGCTCTGGACAGAATTGACTTGGTCCAAATCAATTAGCCAGCTTGCAATGAATTGATTTGGCCCAAATAAAGTACAGCCCGGGGTCGTCTTGCTGCCTCCCTCCGCCGACTTCTCCTCTACCAATCGCCTTCTTCTTGTGGTACAGTGCTACCACTCCACCCATCCGCCAATTTTAACAATCGGAACTCACATATACAGATGGGTTAGTGAAGTCACATTCATAAGAAACAATCAATTAACACAAGGGAACCCCATAATAATTCACTTATGCAACCCATGTCCTTTCTATAGAAAACTCATTTAGGTTACCGCGACTACGACGCGTGTTCCGATCGGTGGGGGCAATAATAAGTGCGATGTGACAAAGGTAGACCTTTCTCGGAAGGCCTCTCGAAGGCGGTAATCTCCTCGGCGAGAAGCTCGTTGCCATCGAAGGCAGCTGAGGAGTGATCTTTGTTCCTCCGCCCACTCCCGCCTCCTTTTTTTTCTTCTTCTTCTTCGAGCTATGCCCAATTACAGCAACCAAAGCAAAAGCTAACTTCGAATCAGAACAATGGATTGTGAGCAACCGAATGCACCAACTAATTCCCCTGTGCTTCTCCTCGCAGACACCACCAGCAAGATAAACAATAAAATAATAAAAAGAAATAAATTGAGTAATAAAGAGGGACGTGCTCAATCTCCCTCGCAATGCAACAGTGGTGATAATTTTGGCTAGCGAAAATAGCTTTGGGCATCGGTGATTTCTTGCGCTTGATTGGGGCCAGATGCGGTAATCTGTTCGGTACATGTAATAACAGCAACACAACGTCTTAAAATTGTTAGAAACCGAACAGGAAAAATTAGGGTTACCGATCTGGCTGAGTCGCGGACTAGGTCGCTCTCTTTAAGACGTTCGCGGCACTGCCTCGTTATTCGCACAGCAGACTATCAGCCGGTCGCCTCCAGGATAAAACAGCCACTCTAATTTTCTTGCTCATCGGTTTTGTGCGAAAAAACCGGAGCTCTATGAATTCACTCTCTCTCGTGTTTCTGCTCTTCTGAGGTGTGTTTAGAGGGTCTGAGGTGTCTCCTATTTATAGGAGCAGAAAACCCAGAATATTCCCTCTTTCTTTGGGAATAAGTCATATTTTAATTAGGGAGATAATTACTCCCATAATTAAAATATAATCTATTAAGATAATTATTCCTAATTATCTCCATAATATTCCTTTTATTAATTATCCATCTTATTTATGTATTATGGGAAAATACTGGATAATTAATTAGGAATTCATTTATAGTTTTTCAAAGCTATTCATCCCAACAATTTCTGCCAACTAGTGATGCAATAGAACTCCTCATATATGGTGCCTTCTACGGTACCTCGGATGAAATCTAGGGCACCTCATATCTTGAGTATGAAAATACTATCTAGACCTTGAATTAGTAGGATTTTTGAACCTGATACTATACCCTAACCCTTAATGAGTGAACCCTAGTTCCTAATTATCTAAATTATAAACTATAAACCCTAAGATGGTGCATTAATTTTTGGCCATTATTTGGACAAATCATACCCGTCTATTATTATTCTAATTAAATTGATCTTGGAGTATTAGATTTACAGAACTAAGACCTAGATTTTGATCTTTAAGGGTTATAGTATAGTATTATGTCCGAAAGATCAGTCAATTCATGGTCTGAATTGCATTTTCATACTCAGGGTATGTGGTACCCTGGATTTTACCATTGGTACCGTAGAACTCCCCATATATATATATATATATATATATATATATATGGGGAGCTCTACAGTACCCCGGGTGAAATCCGGGGTACCGCATACCTTGAGTAAGAAAACGCTATCCAGAACTTGAATTGACTGATCTTTCGGATATGATACTATACTCGAACCCTTAAAGATCAAAATCTAGGTCTTAATTCTCTAAATCTTATACCTCAAGATCAATTTAATTAGAAACAATAATCGACGGTTAAGATTCGTCCAAATATAGGCAAAAAAATCAATGCACCATCTGAGGATTTATAGTTTATGATTTACATAATTAGGACCTAGGGTTCACTCATTAAGGGTTAGGGTATAGTATCATGCCCAAAAATCCTCCTAATTCGAGGTCTAGATAGCGTTTTCATACTCATGGTATGCGGTACCCCGGATTTCACCCGGGGTACCATAGAAGGCACCACATATATATATATATATATATATATATATTCCTTTCGATGATTACATAAATAATGGGTACACTTACATAGCCAAAACTTTCCCGTTTGTGCCAATAATAGCCAAATTTGGAGAAATATTACGTATAGCCAGCTTTTAAAGTTGTTGTAATACTAATCTAGCCATTTCCGTTAGATACTTTAACGGTGTTACTAACACCGTCAACTTATTTGACGGTTCACTGACTAGGCGCCGACTCAGCGAACACGTCAGCGCCAAATATGCCAAAAATAATACATAATAATTTAAAATGATTTAATAATTACACATCATAAATTAATTAATGAAATAAAAAAATTAGAATTAATTAATGGATTTTTTTCTTTCCCCTTCTCTCTCTACGTTGGCAACTGAAACCCAAACTCTCTGATTACCGATCTGTCGCTCTTATTCATCTTCTTCTTTCTATTATCCTGTGCCGATCCATTCACTTTCCAAAACCCCCCACCAAGTCCCTAATCACAAGCTCCTATTTCCTCCTCGTCTCCCTATCCTTCCCTTCTTCCTCCTCATCCTCTATTTCCCCAATCCCTCTGAATTTTCTGAACGCCGAAACCCAGATCCAAGAAAAGACCTTGGCTCCTCGTTGGTGGATTTGAAGGGAAATCGTCGAAAACTCTCCACCCCTGCTGCTGTTCTCTATGTCAACGAGATTGAGAGTGAAAAATCCAGAATCGCCAACGTTGGGATAGAACTCTTATCCCAACGCGCCTCTCTCGCTCTATCCATCTTTGCATACGGGTTTGGATGCAGGGGGGGAGGTGGATTGATTTCTCGGTGATGAAGTTCTTGTTTATGGGATTTGGATTAAATTCCATTCCATTCTTGTCTATTTCTGTGCAATGGGTATCTTTCCCTTTTCCCCTTCTTTTTTCCGTCAAAGCAAAGCAATTTCCTTGTTAGTTCAGCTGATTTAGGGAAGATCTACTACTACTTTCAGCTTAATTGCAACTTCCCTTTCCAATAATTACAGCTTCCATTTCCCGTAATCGCTCTATCCCAATCATCATCTTGTTGTTGTGCTTGGCTCCACACTCGGATGAATTGATTGCAGCTGTAGCACCTGTAGGACGGCCTGGGCGACGACATAAGAATGAATTTCTATGTATGATTATCAATTCTTTTTTTTTTTCCCGGCATTTAGATCTGAAAAGAGGAAACTTAAACGGCAGAGACTGCCTTTGTTGGAAGAGTGGAAAAAGGGAAATGGGATTACAACGGGAGAGAGAAAAATTGAGTGGTGGCCTGGTGGGAGAAGAGAGAGAATGTTGTGAGTTTTTTTGTTAAATGTTTTTTTAAAATATTTTTTTCGTTAAATTTATTATTTATTAATCTATGTGGCAGTAGTGTTGTGCCAACTGCCAAGTAGCATTTCCGTTAGTCTAGTCAGTCTGTTAGATAACACCGTTAAAGTATTAGACGGAAGTGGCTATAAGTGGTATTTCTTCAAATTTAGCTATTATTGACATAAACACGAAATTTTTGGCTATAAAAGTGTATTTTACCTAAATAATGTAACCATTCTGCAACATCAACTATAAAAACCAGGAAATAAATTCCTTTGCAGAGACACGTACCATATATATAATGTCTCTATATGACCAGTTCCCATATTCATAGAATAGAAAATCCCAACTTCACGTAGAGAGTTGCAGCTTTAGTCACCCAATTTGAGTTTGGTACAGTCTTCCCCCTTTGATTCATTTTCCATGTTCCCAGTTTCTCTATTTGCATTTTCGGTTATCAGTGGATGCTGATTGAAAAGTGGTCGGTGGGCTTCCCTAATTGTGATCCTTCTCCTCTGTGGTGGACTGGAGCCGCACGCTAGCTATTGAAAGCTTGGTCTGCCAGTGACCCAATCTCAAACTAACAACTAATCTTCCAGCGTTGCTCATCACTGAAACCCATCCCCTGATTTCGTCAGAATTTCATTAGTGGAATTTGCTGCCATTACAATTTACTTCCTCACACCACTGTTGAACTTAGTCCGCTGTTCCTTCTCCATGTCCGTGCATTTATGTTTGTTTTTGCTCTGTTTGTTCTCGACTAACCCTGATTTAGTGTTTTAATAATTTGTGCAGTCGGGTTTGCTCAACGAAGAACGAACAGATCTGGTCAAGCTAAGGTTCTTTCCATGGCATTCGCTTTTTGGCAGTCTAATATCCCGGTGTTTGTCTCTGTTATTCTCTCTTTCCAAGGTTTTTATCTGGCTTTTACTGTGACTTCGTTAAGTACAGCTTTTACTGATGCTTGAAATGTTTTTCAAATTTCAGTCTTGGTTTGTTGTAACAGAGTGATTTATAATTCAATAACTCAACTACTCAAGTAGCGACTGAGGGGTAGTAGATATAGAAGAAAAGTTTTCACAACAAAACTTTAGAAAATGCTTTACCTTAAACTACATGCTCCTCCAGCAGGTTTTGAAACATTATTGTCGCTTTATAAAATTTTCGCGTATGCTCGTTGGGTGTTATGAGTCATTGAATTAGTTAGTTTGGTTTAAGTTGCTTTGCTTACTATATTATTACTATACTTCGAGTAGTAACATGGGAAGCAACAACAATTTTGTGTTTATTAAGTTGGATTTTACCTATAGTATGATCTTTTGGCATGAACCTGAAAATGATTTGTAGTTGTATACTTTGGAGATGAAATTGAGATTGCTTCAAATTATTGTGTAGTCATGAATCACCCAGCATCTTTACCCTACCACCTTTAAGTCAAACCAACAGCACTGCCATTAATTAATTATGCGGCAACAAAAACCACTAAAATCCAAGTAAGCCCCCCTGCTTTCTCCTTTTTGTCTTCTTCTTTTTGCTTATATTAGGTTTCTGTGCTCTTGATACATTGTTATACTGCTGCTGACTCTTTGCCTAATGCTATATGTCCTCTTAAAAAAATTAAGCAAAGACCTATATTCCAATTTTCCAATCCAATTCATAATTAATAGTTGCCTAGAAAATCTCGATTATGTACATTAATGAGGGTAGAAATCTAGGCACAACAAAAGACATTTCTACTAATTGGTAACAGAATGCTTCTCTGTTCACACCTCATGTTGTTTAAAACTTTCATCAATTTCTTATCAAATTTAATGCTTCGCTTTATGAGTTTAAGTTAGTGTCGAAGCCTCAAATTTACCTAGGCCGAACTACTGTAATATGGCAGGAAAACAGTTTCAATCATGGCCTTGACATACTAGAGTAAAATTTAAGTTTTAGTTTCAGTCTGAGTCTGAGTCTTGGTTAAGTTATCTAAGCTTTTAGCTCCTCAGATTTGATGTCTTCTTTTGTATAAATTGTTTAAACTGCTCCATTATATAGGAATACTTCTGAAACTAACCCAATTAAGCATACTAGAAATCCATATTGGTGTTGCAGCTGATATCAGTGTTGCCTTTAATTCACTTATGGCGGATGAAGGCGGGCTGACCTTAATCTGTCTATGCCTTTTAATCTTGATCATTTTAGTTACTTTGTTAGCAAATATGGTTTCCTAACTCAATTATGTGTTTCAATATTTAATTGTGGCAGCGGGTAATGACTTGCAAGTGTTGTTATGTCAATGAAAGATAAATATTGTAACAGTGGAAGAGGAAACTCAGGTAGTGTCATTAGCTAGGCTAGATTGTATCACATACAACAACATTCGATGATTGGGATTCAAAATTGTTCTTGCTCTATTGTTATCTTTAGTCGATTTGATGCTTACAGCCTCTGTTTGTCTTCCTTGAGATCGGGCCCTACCAAAATGCAATGAGAGCCATTGAATGAGGGTGAATTAGACTTTTCTAACGAGATCGGTCTCCCTTTAGTCACTTACTTTGGTGTGTTGAATGCAAGTCATGTTTAGAAAGTCCAAGGTATCAAAGAGCTAAAATTCATTGTTAATTTCTTCGTGATGATGCCAATGGAGCTGCCTGCGTTGGAGCATAACTCCTAGCGAGTTGAGACAAATTCAAGTATTTGTTTTTTTTTTTTTTCATTTTGTTATAGTCTCTGTATCGTTGTCATGGATGGCTGCCTGCTGTTGGCATTGACACTATGCAGGAGGCTCTTTTACAAAAACTAAGAGCAATGGATATAAGATAGAGAGAAATTTTACAATGCTATATAGTATTGATGCTATAAGATTTTGCTTTTATGGTACAACTTAAAATTGTACATTTACGTTATGGGACAACTTCAGATTGTACCTATACTTTTTGTACAAATTCTTTTATGGTACAATTTGAACTTGTACCTTTATGTGATGGTACAACTTCAAGTTGTAAAGTTGTACCATAACATAATGGTACAAATTGCTTTATGGTACAACCTAAACTTATACATTTAATGTTATGGTACAACTTTAAGTTGTATATTAAAGCACCAAAACTATATAGCATAGTAGAAGTGCTCATAAGATAGAGGCTCTTTTCCTATTAGTTCTAATAGGGATTTGTTTTCTTTTTAGTTGCAGATATGGTATCCTGTGTCGAAGAAGCTAGTGGAGAAACCTGTGCTGGAGTTTGCAGAGAAGCACGGGCAGGATTTGATGGCGATCCATCTGGCGGCGTGCTTGGGGCCATTGTTGTAGCCAGGATTAAATGCTTGCACAGCTATGTTGAAACAACTAGTGTAAGGGGGGTAAAAAAACTCATGAGTATCACTGGTTGGGAGTTATTCATGTTAAGGATGTGGCCGAGCCACAAGGTTTGCTCTATGAAGCTCTTGCTGCTTCTGATTGATACCTCTCCACCAAGGCATCTACCAATTTCGAGACTTTGCTAAAAGGGTTTCCAAACTCTTCACTGAATTCCATGTTTAGAGAGGATGCTACTGAAAACTTTGATCCTATTGATTAATAAATAAATACAGTTTTCCTTAAAAAAAAATAAAATAAAAGCATATGGTAAGAATCATAATCATGACCAATGTAGTCAAAATTTCGATTTTAATCTTAAAATCTTACGATTTTACGATCTTACCTATGAGTTCCGATCCTGATTTTACTGTAAAATCTTTGAACCTTAAAATCCCATAAAATCCCGATTTAAAACTCTAAAATCCATAAAATCTACGATTTCTACGATTTTGTACGATTTCAAGGTCATATCAATTGGATCAAAATTAGGCCGGTCAAGTTGGGTTATGCCCATGAACCGAGTCAAATTTACTTTCCCCAACCCAACATAATGAACAACACAACCCCAACCTGATAGTTAACCCTCAATTTATTTTCATTCTCTTCCTCGTATCTTCCTCTTTCGCACGTCGGCGCCCAACTCCTTCCATCAACGATATCTTCCACCCTCCCAATTAGCTTGTAGTTTGTTCCCACCACCCTCACAATAATCCAAATCTCCATTACATTGCAAGCTTTTGTTCATCTCCCAATCCTTCAGCACCACTAACCCTACCTTTTATCAATTAAGAAGGGAATGCATCAATCAATGAGTTATGTTTTCCAGATGATGGTTTAAGGAAATATGGTTAATGGTGAAAGTACTTCAAGTGATCATAAGAGTAATGATATTAGTCCTTAAACAAATAAAAACGATGAGAGTAAGGGTGAGGTTGAGGATGATGACGATGACGATGATGTGTAAGTGATGTTAATGTTGATCCTAACGATCTTATGTGATTTTCTACTCTTAACAATTAATTAACAGTGATATCTATAATGTTTAAGGTTTCTTATTTGTCTGTTTCTATTATGTACAAGAAAAATATATGGATTAGTTGTGTTTGTTTAGCAAACAAACTTATCTTGGGAGGTAATTATGCTTTATGTGGTTGATTGTTATTCAAGATATGCATTATTATTACTATCTAGTGTTTTAAGTATTTATTTTAATATGAACCTTAAAATCTTACGATTTTACGATTTTAATCTACGATTTCGATTCTACCTCAGTTTTCGATTTTACTTAAAATCTAGATTTTGACTGCATTGATCATGACGACATTGCAGCTCTTCCAAAAATTATGATTTAGCTACTCGAATCTGGTTTGCTTTTTCTGCAATGGGTCGATTCACTTTGCATAATTAGATTGCTACCATTGATGCTTCAGTATTTGAATTCTTTCCCATGTTTTTATTACTATGGTGAAAGTATGTATCATTAGTATGTATCATTAGAAGTCTCCCCGCTTAAAATCAATGCATATATGTTCTTTAGTGAATGCACTTCCTCCTACGCCAAAACATTTTACAATTGTTATGACGCTTGCTTACACTTTGTTGTCGGTAAGTGGTACAAATCTAATTCTTTCTATGAGAATAATTGTTTTTAGATAAAATATCTCGGGTACTACTAAAGAATGAGAATTGGGATAACAATACCACTTAAATTAGGTTGCTTACACTTTGTTGTCGGTAAGTGGTACAAATCTAATTCTTTCTATGAGAATAATTGTTTTTAGATAAAATATCTCGGGTACTACTAAAGAATGAGAATTGGGATAACAATACCACTTAAATTAGGTTGCTTACACTTTGTTGTCGGTAAGTGGTACAAATCTAATTCTTTCTATGAGAATAATTGTTTTTAGATAAAATATCTCGGGTACTACTAAAGAATGAGAATTGGGATAACAATACCACTTAAATTAGGTTGCTTACACTTTGTTGTCGGTAAGTGGTACAAATCTAATTCTTTCTATGAGAATAATTGTTTTTAGATAAAATATCTCGGGTACTACTAAAGAATGAGAATTGGGATAATAATACCACTTAAATTAGAATAGGGCGTAGGATACCACTAAAATTAATGAATTTTACAATCCAAAGATGTGGTCAATCTCCCGCCACCGTCTCCAAACTCTCACCGTCGCCCACCGCGGGAGCTGCTGTGCACAATCATATCACTAAACTCGAAAACTCCACTTATGGCCTTGATCTACACTTCGACAGTATCTCCTCTATCGTCGTTCACAACCAGTTCTCCAACGTCAAATAGCTCCTCGACGAGCATCGTCGTGATCGCCTTGACGTCCGCACCGAGAATTCGCCGCTCTCGCCATCGTTGATTGTAACAGCCTGGGTCCAGCTGGCAAGTGACGTGTTATATTGGCAAATGTATAAACAGGGAGAGTTCACGTGTATTGATCATCTTTTACTCAACTGTGAAACTAAAGCTACTTTACCAAAATTAGTTAGATAGTTATCAATAAACAAGTTCTTCTTCGTCTCCATTTTCCCCAATTTCCTTCCTTCTCGCCAGATTCCTATCTTGATCCTTACAAAGTGGTATCAGAGCTTTCAATCTGGCAATGGCTTCTCACACCTCTCGCATTGTTGATCTGGAGACGCAGATGGCGTCGGTTCAGCTTCAACTAGAGTCTCAACACCAAGACTTGAAGACCGCCATTGCGGAGCTTGCTGCGTCCACAAAGGATAATCTAGATGCATTGGCGGCGTCTTTCGCTCGCAGTCGGGAGAAATCTCCGGTTCGTTCGCCGCCGCAATCGCAGGCTCCCTTCGCCGAGGCACAACATTTTCGTTCTCCGCAGCGGCGACCATCGTTACTGGATCACTATCCTCGCTTGGAGTTCTCCTACTTCTCAGGTTCCGATCCTCATGTTTGGGTGATCAAGTGTCATAAGCTCTTTATTCTCTACTCGATTCCTGAAGAATAGAAGGTGGATTTGGTCTCGTACTATTGGGAAGGGCGAGCATATACGTGGTTTGAGGGCTGGTCCTTCCGTCGTTTTCCGTTAATTTGGGGCCATTTCGTCGAGGAGCTCCTTCACCGGTTTGGGAATCGTGATCAGTTGAACGTGGTGGCGGCATTCAACAAACTCAGGCAGACGTCCACGGTGGCTCGTTATCAGGAGGAGTTTGAAGATCTTCGTTCTCGCCTACTCCGATTAAATCCCGAACTCAATGAGCATTATTTCATCTTGAGCTTTCTGGGAGGGCTCGACGAAGAAATTCAACCTCGTGTTCAGCTACTTAATCCGCGGACTTTGGCGTGTGCGTTCTATCAGGCGCGCCTGGAGGAGTCTGCCATTGACGCTCGCCGGAAGAAAAAGCGCTCTGCTCCTCTCAGTCGGTGGTCTGCTTCTCCTTCTTCGGCATCGACTTCTTCTTTTCAGCGTGAACAGCCCCTTCCTCCTCCGTCCACGGGTGACCGAAATTCCATTCCTCGAGGGCAGGGCCTCTGCTATAAGTGTGGTGATAAGTACTTCCATGGCCATGTTTGTGCCAGGAAGAAACAGCTCCAAGTGATGCAAGCTGAGGAGCAATGTCATGAGGTGGACGATGGTGACGATGAGTTTCAAGATGCTGAATTGGAAGTCACCTTACAGTCTATGGGATCGGGCTTTGCCGGGAATTCTCTGCTTATCTCTGCTACTTCGGGTCGTCGCGAGGTAACAGTTCTTATCGATACCGAAAGTTCCCACCCTTTTCTCAATTCTCTTAGAGCTCAGGAGTTGAACTGTAAATCTGATAGTATCGCACCAATGAGGGTGAAAGTTGCAAGTGGCCATACGTTGTAGAGTGACTCGGTGTGCAGGGGGTTCAGTTGGAAGATGTAGGGAGAGGAGTTTGCTTTTGATGTCAGAACGCTTGATCTACCTGCTCATGATTTGGTCTTAGGTTGGGACTGGCTTGAAACCATTAGTCCATTCCAAGTTGATTTGAAGAAGAGGCAATTGGCTTTTGAATGGAAGGGGAGGACTCTTACATTGCAGGGTCTCACAAAGGAAGGCCAATGTAAGATGATTTCCGGGCGTGATTTGCAGCAGCTTCTAAAAAGCCCCATGACTCAACTGACACGAGCTGTGTTTGCCTTGGAAACAGTTCCTTCCCCCACCATTACACCCCCTTTCCTGGAACCTGTTTTATCACAATTCCCTAATGTTTTTGCCACACCCACATCCCTACCTCCTGTTCGTTCTTTTGACCACACAATACCTTTACTTCCCAACACTAAGCCCATCAATATAAGACCCTACAGATTTCCTCACCATCACAAAGCTTTTGCTGAACGGTTGGTTGATGAAATGCTCCAATCTGAGTTCATTCAAGAGAGTCATAGTCCTTATGCTTCACCCGTCTTGTTGATTGGTAAAAAAGATGGTACTTGGAGGTTTTGCGTGGATTACAGGGAGCTTAATGCCAGTACAATCAAGGATAAGTTTCCAATCCCTCACATTGAAGACTTGTTGGATGAATTACACGAGGCTGTTTTGTTTTCAAAGCTGGATCTTCGGGCGGGCTATCATCAGATTCGTATGCACCCTGCAGATCAGTTTAAGACAGCTTTCCGCACTCACCAAGGGCATTACGAGTTCAGGGTCATGCCCTTTGGGTTGACAAATGCTCCAGCAACGTTTCAGGCTTTAATGAACCATGTTTTTGGCAAATATTTGAGGAAGTTTATCCTTGTGTTCTTCGATGATATATTGGTGTATAGTAAGATTGAGGCAGACCATGTGCAGCACCTCACCATTGCTCTACAACTCATTCGGATTCATCAGCTTTTTGCCAAAGCTTCAAAGTGTTCCTTTGGGCAGCAATCTGTGGAGTACCTCGGCTATATTATTAGCAAGGAAGGTGTTTCTACTGATCAAGGAAAGGTGGCTGCTATGACTTCTTGGCCTCGGCCTACAACAGTTAAAGGGTTGCGTGGTTTCTTGGGTTTGACGGGGTATTACCGAAAATTCATTAAGAATTATGGTATCATTAGTCGGCCACTTACTGATCTCCTTAAGAAGGGCGGATTCCATTGGTCTTCCGAGGCTGAAGAAGCTTTCCACACCTTGAAATCAGCCATGAGTCAGGCTCTAGTTTTGGGGTTGCCTGATTTCACACGGCCCTTCATATTGGAAACAGATGCTTGCGGGACTGGGGTGGGGGCAGTATTGTCGCAGCAGGGCAGGCCTCTAGCCTTCTTCAGCAAGGCCCTCAGTCTACGCAACCAAGGGTTAAGCACATACGAGAAGGAGTATCTTGCTGTCTTACTCGCCGTCGATCATTGGAGGCATTATTTGGAGGGGCGTCAGTTCACAATTGTGACGGATCATGAAAGCTTGAAGTTTCTCTTGGGACAGAAGGTGCACACTGCCATTCAAAAGAAGGGTCTTGTCAAGCTTATGGGTTTGGACTTTCAGATTAAATATCGAAAGGGGCGCTACAATGGTGCTGCTGATGCTCTTTCCCGTGTCTTTGAGGATAATGTTGAAGGCAGCACTTGTAATGCCCTGTCTTCAGTGCTTCCTGAATGGCTGGTGGAGATTGAGAAATCCTATGTTGGGGATGCTGAGGTGGCTGAGTGGATTACAGCAGCAGCGGTGAACGTTGCTGGCCCTTCCTTATGGTCTTTCTCATCTAGCATTCTTCGATATCGTGGTGCTATAGTGGTGGGGTCAACTGGTTTCTTGCGTTCCAAACTACTCCACCTCTTCCATTCTTCACCTATAGGAGGTCATTCAGGTGCTCAAGGCACTTACCAACGCCTTAAGAATTATTTCTACTGGCGGGGGATGAAGTTTGCAGTTGTTCAGTGGGTTGCTAGTTGTGAAGTTTTTCAGCGTTGTAAGACCGAGACCCTTGCTTCTCCAGGTCTTCTTCAACCTCTTCCCATTCCCACCAGAGCTTGGCGCGATATCAGTATGGATTTTTTCGAAGGTTTGCCTAATTCGAAGGGGAAACATGTATTGTTTGTGGTGGTTGACCGATTCACGAAGTCAGCACACTTCTTTGCCCTCTCGCACCCCTATTCAGCAGCTACTGTGGCCCAGATTTTCTTCGAGGGAGTTTTTAAATACCACGGGATGCCTTCTACAATAGTGTGTGATAGAGATGCTACCTTCACAAGTGTGTTTTGGACGGAATTCTTTCGATTGCAGCGTACTGACATCCATTACTCCACTGCCTATCATCCGCAAACTGATGGACAAACAGAGCGGGTTAATCGCTGCTTAGAAGATTATCTCCGCTGTATGACATTCCATCGACCACAGGACTGGGATGATTGGTTGGTTCTTGCTGAATGGTGTTATAATACACACTGCCATATCAGTCTGCAGATGTCCCCGTTCGAAGCTCTTTACGGGTTCCCACCTTCCTTCTTTGGGTTGGGTTCTGTATTGCCTACTCAGGTGGGTGCGGTGGAAGATCGAGTCACCAATTACCACCACTTGGTACAGCTTCTCACGCACAATATCACCACTGCTCAGAACCGCCAGAAACAGTACGCTGACAGAAGGAGATCGGAGCGAGTGTTGCAGGTCAATGACTGGGCATATCTTCGCCTGCAACCTTATCGGCAAGGTTCAGTGGTGGGAAGGCAGGGCAACAAGTTGGATGTTGATGCTCTAAAACACAACACCTAACAATGGCCAAGTGTAACCAATGAAAGGGACTGCAGTATAGTGGCACAAGTAATAAATATCGAATCCATGGGTCTCTAGAGTTACTATTACTCAGCTTCAGTTCATTATCTAGCAAACTAGATTAAGGATTGATTAACTAAACTACTCTACTAACTAAACTAAGTAAAATTACTAATTACAGTTTGGGAACTCACTTAGGTATGATTCCCCCTAGCTCCTCAATTAGGTCCAAGTTGTAATTCCTTTTGGTTGATTTACTGTTGATTAAACTGCGGAAGATCCGACAGTAGCTTGGAATCTCTTAAGCTGACCAAACCCTCTCAGTCTAACTATCCGGCAGACGACTAGTCTTCACCGGGATAGAAAGCTGAAGCAATAAGCAAAGAACTCCACTACTGGAATTGGATTCCAGTACAAAGCAGTAAACTGGCTAACTCTCGTATAGCCAATCTCCTACTACCGAATGATGAGACTCTAGCAGCCTAATCAGATTCTATCTATCTCAGATTGCAGCAGGAATCAGGAAAAGTTGATCAGACTTCAATTGACTCAATAAACATGCATCATTCGATTATAATCAAACAATATAGCATCCAAAACTTCATACAAGAAAGATCCTAACTCATGGAACTAAGGTTCCTCAAAACCTAAGTGAAGGGAAGTTACTCCATAGAGAAGAGAGAGACTGCAGAAATCTGATCTAGATCTTCAATCTCCATCTCCAAGCTTGATTCCCGAGCTCCAATGGCGAAGAAATCCTCCAAAATAGCTCCAAGAATGTTCCCAAGTCGCTCTCTCTCTATCTCTCTCTCTATGGTTCATCCCTTGGGTATTTGGGATCCAAAACCCAGCTCTCCCCCTTTCCCTTTGCTGAAAATCGGGTTTTAAACAGCAATTCCCGACTCACACGGCCAGGCCACACGGCCGTGTGGCTTTCCCAGCTGTCTGTGTGAAGGCTCGGTGATTTCCACACGGCCACATGGCCAGGTCACACGGCCGTGTGGGTTGTGCCATGCATCATTCGATTATAATCAAACAATATAGCATCCAAAACTTCATCAAGAAAGATCCTAACTCATGGAACTAAGGTTCCTCAAAACCTAAGTGAAGGGAAGTTACTCCATAGAGAAGAGAGAGACTGCAGAAATCTGATCTAGATCTTCAATCTCCATCTCCAAGCTTGATTCCCGAGCTCCAATGGCGAAGAAATCCTCCAAAATAGCTCCAAGAATGTTCCCAAGTCGCTCCCTCTCTCTAGGGTTCGTCCCTTGGGTGTTTGGGATCCAAAACCCAGC